AAAAAAAAAGATTCATTCGATTCTATTCTATCATCACAATTTAGAATACCTTATCGAGAAAAACAGAAATGACACAATTTTGCATATTTCCACTGATACAAGAAATAAACTCAATTTGTAACCCAATTGGAGAAAACGTATTGGAATATTAACAAAAACGACAAGGTAGCCACTAATGGCTGATGCCAGAAAATATCTGCCGCATGGATTAGAATAAAGTGCAGGACGTGTAAATACATAAATATTCAATGAATGTCCAACACAGCCAAGAATAAACATTGTTATACACCAGCATCGAACAAACAAAATTGAATCCCAAAGAAGAGCATTGGTGGCAGCAACGATATCATTGGTGATGTTGGAAGAAGACATCTCAAAATAAAAATGTACAAATTCATCTCAACCAAATGAACATGTTCTACAATTTGATTTCGAACATCTGTGAATTTATTATGAAAGAACTTTTATGATGATAAAAATTCATCATAACACATTGCTTAATGTCTTAAATAAATTTTCTAATTTTTAAAATTATCTCTAAGCAAATACAGTAGAGTACAAAGAAAAATTCTCTTTTATACTTATGAAGGTATGTATCAATCCCAGTTCTGAGTGACTGACTAGGTCACAATTGGACCGGATATCGAGTCGGCCTTGACTCCTCCATAGCTAAATCCATTTTTTTCTTCAAATTTTCGAGTTGAGTTTTTTTTTGTTAAAAAGGATGTTTTTTGAAAAAGTAACGATTTTCTGATTACACTTACCGAAACCGTAAGAATAGGAACGTGACATCTCTTGAGCAAGATAACTCAGCTCGAGAATTTCGATAAACCATGTATAGATTAGGATTCCTTGATCTCAGAAGACTTCGATCAAAGTTTTTAGAAAATCGGTATTTTTGGAAAAAAAAGACCTATTTTAACCAAAAAATTAATCAACTTGAAAATTTGAAGTAAAAAATGGATTCAGCTATGCACACTTTGATTATAGAATCATGCCTATCTATAATGAGAAAATGTCATTACGAAAGCAATTAAACTACTTGAAAATAATAGAATATGATGAATAAAGTGCTCTGCTCTTTCATTTATGACAAGCGTCCATAAAATAGATCTGACGTCTGTGCCGAAGCATCATGAAAGAAAATGTTTCTACTTGTAACACGATTTTTTTTCCTCGTAATGGAACTATTTTATATTAGATACTGGCAACAGAACAACGGAGCGTTCATTTTCTTAAATCAATGAAAATAAAATTTGTATGATAATTATTATAGCGTATTAATAAAAAAAAGGATGACATCAGTTTCATTCTGTACTATTATACATGCATGAACATCTTCTGTCGTTGTTATGCCGTCATGAAGATTTCAAAGCATTAAATAGAATCTAGAAATAATTGTGACAGATATGTGACAACCCAAAAAAAAGTTTAGCAGTGCGTGCGAAAAATCTAAACTTAAATAATACGAACAACTCATACGTGAATACCGTGATATTCATATCAAAGAACTACTATAGTGTAAAGACATAAAATTCATGTAATTTAATGGCTCTCTCATTAGATGGGATATTTGAATTTGCGGCAAATTCATTTATAATTTTAAAAAAAAGACTTGGAAGAAAATAATTTGATGGAAGTATTGGAGGGCTATTATACCATCGCCAATCTTCCTTTTCGCCTATTGTACTTTTCGCCAATTGGCGAATACACTATGGCGAAACAAAAAGTTTATTGGCAAATTTCACACTAGAGATTCACCAATTTGAATCAACTGAGTTGTAACTCAATTATAGTACTTGATATTGTTACCAATGAAACTGAATTAACTCAAGTGTATATAACTGCTACAATGAAAAATTATTGTTTTGTCTACGTTCAATTTAGTCGAACATGTGCCTTGTGTTATTTGAGAATGCATAGGATCGAACGGGAACACAATGCCCTCTGTAGTAACGATCGTTCTCTTTTATTAAAGTAGGTGAGAGTCAACGATTAGTAAGTGATAGAATTCCAACAGCTCAATTACAAAATGAATATGCATCAGATGATAAAATTTATCAAGATAAAATAGCAGTAAGTAAGATTGATATAAATAAAATAAAAATTATATTTTGACAAGAAAAAAAAAGGAATTAACGAAAACATATAAATATATTCGACGTATACGTAGTGATGGAAATGGTTTTTATCGTGCATTTACATTTCGTTTATCTTAAAAAAAATTTAAATAATAAAAAAGAATTCGAACGTTTTCGTCAATTAACATATGATTTAAAAGATCAGCTTATTAAATTAGATTATTTAGATTTTACAGTTGAAGATGTACGTGATGTTGTTATTGAAATGATTGATAATATATCTAAAGAAGGGAATGAACAAAGTTTAATAAAAAATTTTCGTTTACCATCAAATTCGGATTATTTTGTTGCTTATTTACAGCAAATTATTATTGAAATTCGAACATAAACAAAAAAAAACCAAACTTTTCTAAACATATAATAGATTATTTACATCAGGTTATCTCCAAATGAATCATGAACTTTTTGAAAATTTTATTGAAGATGGAAAAGTGTTAAACATTTTTGTAGTACTGTATGTGGGTATGGATGTGGGTGTGTGTGTGAGTGTGGGTGTGGGTTTGGGGTGGGGTAGCTGGGTGGGGGTGTGGATGTGGATGTGAATCTTCAATTTATGGAAACCCACAATCACACCCACGCCCACAAGGCATTCAGTAGATGAGTACGACAAATTTTATTTTAGTATACATCATGTTTATTTTTCGATAAGTTATAGCAGGAAAAATCATACCGAAAAACTCAAACAAACCATAGAACAACAAAAAACTGAGCAAATAAAGGAGAATATACAAGAAAAACAAAGCGAAAGGAAATGAAAGCATGTACTATGAATAGTGTACCCTGCAAGAAAAGTGCATAGATACTGTAGAGTTCCTGAATCTGAATGATTGAGGGACACAGTGGAAAAGTTATATTTCGAAATATTACCATACATTGCACTTATTCACTCGACTATTGCCTTGACCTGGTTTGCAGCCGAATGCACGATCAAACTCAACAAAGTTGGACGTAGAACCAAGTACTCTATAACAGAAATAAACTCTGATATCATCGTAGCGACTAGGTGAAAACAGTTTACATATAAAAAATTTTCTGTAGATGCCCAAAGAGTTCTGCACGAAGATACTTGATTATTCTCAAACGGTGTTACATATGTTTATCTATTTTTTTTCTATTTCATCAACTATCATTCTCAACTGGGTGAATGTTCCGCTAACACGAAATGTAAATCATTAGTGTTTACTGTGAATACTTTGCGCAGGTGTGAATAAAAAACTTGATCAGAAAGTCTCTAAAATTTCGGAAGATATCGAGCAAGGTTCTCATTTGAAGTCACATGTGATAAATGTTTTCCACATCAATTCTTTATCAAGTGCGCTAAAACTATTGTGTTAAAGTGTAGAGACAAGAAGTTTACCTGAACTGACCAGGTAAGTGTACATCTCCCAATACAATATTCGTTGCATATTTATCTGTCATTTTGGAACA